TTTGTCGATTTCTGTATGATTTTGGATGTGTCCGCGCTGCCACCACTCCATTTTGATACTGTGGTATCGTCAGCAAATAGGGTCAGATGGGCATCAGGCACGGCATTGCTTATGTCATTTATATATATAAGGAACAGAAACGGCCCTAAAATTGAACCTTGCGGTACCCCTCGTGTCACGTTTTTAAAACTGGATGTTGAACCCCCCACATATGTGCACTGCTTTCTACCATGCAAATACGATCGAATAAGTTTTGCACTAAGAGCATCAAAACCGTAGTGAATAAGCTTATTTACAAGAATTTCGTAGGTGACGCAGTCAAAAGCTTTTTGAAGATCACAAAAAATTGAAACGGTGCTTAAATTTGCTTCGAACCCTTCCACAATCATTTCAATTAAATTACTGATGGCCAACGAGGTAGACATTCCTGCTCTAAATCCGAATTGGTTAGTATTGAAAAGTTTATTTTTTTCAAAATACATACAAATCTGATTTTTTAGTACAGTTTCCACCACTTTCGAGAGAGTAGGAAGAATGAAGATGGGTCGAAATTTGTTTAGTTCTATCGCTTGAACACATTTTGGAATTGGTATAACTTTTGACAGTTTTAAAATGTCAGGAAAACATCCGGTTCGTATGATTTCATTTGTTAACTTGGTTAATGGGCCTATAATAACGTCTGTTACCGATTTCATTACTGCAGTGGTGATACCAAAGACATCTGAAGTGTATTTAACTTTTATGCTTCTAAGAGCATCTCTTATAGCATTTTGACTCACCTCTACAAATCCAAAGGTTTGATCAACGGTAGCTGTGCCAAGGTACTTTGTAAATAACAAGTTACTGCTGATGGTATAGATTTATTTACAATCTCTGTAACAATGTTAATAAAGAAATCATTAAATTGTTCTGCGGTAGCATTATGCATCTGATCAGATTTAATGGCCGCGAAAATTATTTCGAAAACTGTTTACAATTTTCCAGCACGCTTTGCTTTTATTTTTATTCTGTTTTGGATTCTACGCACCAAAATTAATAAGAAAAAGTGTTTTCCCGAGAAATTTTGGTTCGGTCGATTTTTGGAAAAAAAGGAAGGTTAAACACTGCCTTTTTTTGACCCGAAAAGAAATTGTCTCAGATCGACCCGGAAAGAAAAAGTGTTTTCTCGAGAAATTTTGGTGTAGGTGATTTTTGGTATAAAAGGAAGTAAGTATTCAAATACTAAGCGAAGTGTTCGAATACATCTCAAAGTATTCAAATACCTTGCGAAGTATTCGAATACTTCACGAAGTATCCAAATACTTTGCGAAGTGTTCGAATACTAAATATTTGTGAAAGTATTTGAGTTACAAATACAAATACTGCTTCCATAAAAGTATTTAATTACAAAGTATTTGAATACTTTAAAGGATTTGAATACTAAAAAGTATTCACAAAATTGAATACTGCCCAGCTCTGCCTTAATTTCGGGAAATCAAAATTTGTTCACTCGCTTAAGAGGTACGAGGGAAAATCGAAAAATTTGTCAATTTCAGAATGACTCTATATTTTCTTAGTTACAAAAAGTACAGAAAAATGTTTTTTGTACTCCGATGGACTAAATCAACGTGTTTTGTCACTCATTTAAGGTTCGTTTAGAAATTTTACAATAAAACTGAAGAAAAAGTAATTAAACATTTTTAAAATGAGAAGTTGAAACACTTTTTGTGCGAAAAATACACCAAAAAAAGAACAAAATCAAAGGCTACTATAATTCATAATTATTGACTTACTTCGTGATCGTATATGGTCTTTACTTTAGTTACAATAATATTTATCTCAAATATCAGCCGTGCTTCGTAGTTACATGTCACAGTGAAAATGTCACGTTACACCTGCTCTCTTTATTTTATATGCATAGAATGTAACTTGCAGTTTGTCGACAATTTAATTTGGTTTTTTTTTTTTAAATATGAATTTAATTATTTTGTTGTTGTTTAGTTATGTTAAGATTTTGAGTTTTTTGTTGTGTTTCTTTCTTTTTCTTTTTTTTTTCTTATTACATTAAATCATTGCGCGTTAACTATTATGTATTGTCCTGTAATTGGAAGGTCTGTTCTGTTGGGCAATAAATCTCTATTATTATTATTATTATTATTATTACAGTCAGCACAACGTCCCCTACAATCTCCACTGCCACAAACGTGGATTTTATATTTTAAAATTACACACACATAATGTGTAACAATCTCATCCCTTAGAGTGAGAGTGGAAACCCCTAAATTTTGAAATAAGAGGTAAAGGCTTGTGATATATCATTTGAAACGTCTTTAAATTCTCTATTCAACCACATCAGATCAATTATTCCCAAATAGAAATGATCTGTTAGATGTGGCTGCAGAATACGCGGTCTTGGTGAGAAACTACTTGGATATAGTTTTCCCAGAAAGGTTGATTGGGCGTAGAGGATCAGCCGAGTGGCTACCCAGGTCGCCAGGCCTTCACTCTTGATTTCAATGTTTCACCTAGACCGCATAGTGTGGTGGGGAACCACCGTGCTGCAGACAAAAATAATTTCTATTTGGGAACAACCGATTTAATTATTGGTATAGTAGTAAAGAGAATTAAAAGCCCTTTCAAAGGATGTATATCACAAACCCTGTCTTCGTATTTAAAAATTTAGGGATTGCCACACTCATTCTAAGGGTATTAAATTGAGGGATGAAATTTTTACACATTATGATGTCAACATGTAATTGTCTTATATCATCGAACGTATACGAGATACAAACAAAGTTTGATACAGAAGCTTAATTTAGAATTGATGTCAAATAAAATTCAATGGCTACTTTTGAGGAACATTTCCCAACTTCCTGAAGTTAAATAGGCGCCATATTGGATTTTTAAGTTACTTTTCAACGATCCATTATAGCATAAAATTGATACCAGTTATATCAACGGTTTTTGTATTTTAATCAAGTAGCCTCGATGAATTAAAGAAACAAAACAAAACCTAGTCGACGCAACCTCGGACGCAACAAAACAAAACAATGAAAATAATTGCAAGTCTCATTTTATTGTAACAAAAAATTCTAATGTATTTCTTTCTTTCTGTTTTGTTGTTCTTTGGAAAAATAAACTCACTAAAATTGGAACAAAATGAATATAAAATTTTAGCGTGACGATGGCCTGCATATCTTAATATCGTTAACTTCACAGACCTCGCGGATCTAGCGATAAGATTATCTATACTTTTCTTTCTTTTAGTATTAACGTTCTTTAAAATCCATAGGTTGTTTTTAAGATCGATTGCAAAATTAATATTTCTGAAAGCTATATTTCGAAGAAATTAAGGCTACTAACTACTTGCTTTAGTTAAGTATTAAGAGATACAGTGGATAAACTATCCAAAAAGATAGCAGACTTGCTTCAAAAATTAAAAGAAAGTTGATGTTTTAGATCCAGAAGTAAGAAACATTTGATTATATTAAGGGGTAAAGTGGAGAAACTACCAAAAAATATACCATCAAAGAGTAAAAATCAACGTAGATCGTTTTATAGAATGAAGTCTAAATGTTGTTTAAGTTTAAATGTAGCCCTCCTAAGAAGCACTATCATTTAGCTATATTTCGTTTGTTTACGTTGGAGATGCGAACAATAAGTTGAAATTAGGGTTGTCTCGACCCTATAATAATACTAAATCAGACTTACGTTTAATTTCAAATTAATAAAATACGCTTCGTGACTTGGGAAATTTCTAAGGAGTGTGTAGTTGGATACGTGCATATTATTAATTCCAAAATATCTACACGTATCAACCCTTAATAGAATTAAAATCAATATACAGAATCCCTATTCTTGAAAAGAATATCTACCCCTAATTTTTTTTAAATAATTGTAAAGTTTTCAACCTGGTTTTCAACCAGCCACTAGAGACGTGTGGAGTATAATTATTTAAATGCCGCACTGAATCGACACGAGTCAATCTTTAGTGTCACTGATATTTGTACAAAAACGCTTTAATTCTTGAGAAAAAAATTAGAAAATCTGATTAATAAAATCGGCCAAATTTAACGTATGTGGATATGAATCAAACCCATCAATATCAATAAGCTTGCGTGTTACAGCGCGGGTTCAGTACCAAGTCGGGGTGATTACTTGATATTGAATCTACACGGTTCAATCTTCAAATAGTGCCAAGAGTATTTATACAAATCCGCTTTAGTTCTTTTGAAAAAAGTTTCGATTGTTTGAATAGGGCAAATTTAAATTAGGGGTATATTGGCATTGGTTACATACACATTTAATCTACGCAAATCAACCCTGGAATGACGTTAACAGGCAGGTTTAATTTTTTTGAAAAAAAGCTACGAAAAGATCAATTTTTCACTAACAATGAATCTATCACTTAAAAGGAATCAATAAATTTTATTCACCCACGCTGCATTTTTTGTGTAATTATTAATGATTTGGAATAAGGTTTCGTCTAAATGACAATGACTAATTTCGGGCGTAATTTGCATCCGTTGGTCGCGATAAATCGATGATGCTGAACAAAGAAAATTTACAAAGGATAATAACAGAGAAATAGATCCATTACGGTCTTTATTATATACAAAAGTGAAAATGCTCTATAATTATACATAACGGCTAACGTTACCTGTCAATATTCTTACCAATGGTACATACGAAAGGAACGTTGGGAGCATTTAAATTTTCAAATTTTTGTTTCGGTAAAATTTTTTGAAAATATTAAATTCGAGCTTTGCGCAGTTGAAAATGAAATACCTACCTATGGTTCAATTCTTTCGGATTTTGTAGATTTCCACGTGCGTCTTCGAGAGGGTGGAAATCCCTAAGGCACACCTACCTACCTATATGAAAAATCTGGATTTCGGCGCCGACTGCAATTCCTGATAACAAATACCTAAATATATTTCTACCTTCACATGCGTCGCTATCGACGAATGCCAGCGAAATGAACATTATCCCCCAAATTTTATAGGCGAATAAAACACAACTTTATGATAAACTATGTAGTTTATTTGACTTTCATATACACTCACAAATTGAGAGGCGGCTCAAGCCGTAGGATACAAACATTTACCTATTAAATATTATTATTAATATTCATGATTTTAATTGTCCTGCAAATGAAACCAAACGTTCTTTTTTTGTGCAAAATAAAAACTGATTTTCCTTTATAAAGAACAGTCCATTATTAAATCTAAATTTAGCAAACAGTTCGTATACAAAATAAAGCATTTTTTTAACAATGAAACTGAAAGAATTCCTTTTCACGAGATTGGCTGAACATATCTCTCACACATACACAGTCATTAAATTATCTTAGCTATTTATATGTACATCACATAACGAAAAATAAATTATCTTAATTGTTTTTCAATTAATATTATGCAAACTTAACCTAAATCACTGTTTCAAGTCTTAGCGCAGCGTAAATTAAATATTAGCTTTCGCTACAAAAAGCTTTTTTGTTCTCTAAAAAATAATTTATACAACTTAAAGCTAAAAATTACAAAAACTAAGGCGCGAATTGAAATATTATTTACAAAGATGCAAACCAAACTACTGCATAATTGAGATATGTTCCTCTTACAAATAAAAATATATACTGGCTTTATACATACACGTCGTTTGCCGGCAACGTAACAACATTTATACAAAATTAACAGGATAACAACAAATTAACACAATAGCCGACAAATAGGGTGTAGGATAAACTGCACGCAGAACTTAACAAAACTCAAAAAAACGGTGCTGGGTCCGAAACGGCACAAAAACGTAAAAATAAACCAGTAAAACAAAATCCAAAAGAAATAAAACATGCGGGAATAGATAACAGGAGAGGAGAAAGTGGGATGCATCTTTGTAAACCAAAGCGTGAAGATAATGCATGAGAGAATGACTCACCAACCGATCACAATGTTTTTTCTTGCAATACTCTCGTATCACAATTGTTAAAAAATCAGCCTATACAGGATGTTACAAATGTTAGTGATAGGGTCAACACAAACACAGAGAGTATTCTAGAGAGCTCGAATGGCAAAAATTTGTATTTTTTGTATAAAAAGTAAGTGTTTTTTATTTAAATTTTTATCATCAATAAATTTGCGATATGAAAGATATTAGGAACCACGTTACGGACACACAAAGTCCTCAATATACGAAAAAATCAATTTTTGCAAATATTACACACCGACTGCCCTAAATATAGTTGCAATAATTAATAATATAATAATATGAATAGTAATAATAATCGTGTTATACGTCAGAAGGTGGTAGCTCGTTTAAGACTCCACGTGTCACATTCACTTAGCATTGCTAGTTGCGAGGTATACCGGGGTGGCGAAAGCGGTGCCGCCGGATGATGAGGTAAAGGGATGGATTTTTTCTCCAAGTAAAAGCTCACCCGCTTAGAAAAGAACGTAATTGAAAGCTCGGTGTCAGGCGTTAGAAGTCGATATGTGGGGGTGTTTTTCTTTATATATGTATATATAATAGCAAGCACCGCTTCACCGGCACCGGATTCGCGCTATATCAACAATCACACTTAGTTCCAAATAAACTCACTAAAATGCGAGGCAGGTCATACCGAGGTATTTCCCAGTTTTGAGTTCTTTTGGATACGTAAACCTAGATTATATTTAAAATTTTAAATATAATTTCTACTACTATATATACGTACAATGCCGGTGAAAACCAACGTTTAAAACATAACTATATTATTATTACTTAAACACCATATAAGTAATCGATTATTAGCAATTAGTAGGAACCAATTTTCATTTTTGCTGGCATGAAAGTACCAGATTTGTGGGATGACGGGTGATCCATGAAGCGAACGTGGGGGTGCGGCCCCGCGTACCTTACCAGCTGATATACATATACATATATATGATAAATACAGCATTTGTCTTATTATTAACTTTCAATAATGTGTCAATAATAATAAAAGATTTTTTGTAATAATTTATAGTAATAATAATCAATAAAAAAAGTTGCCCACGCCCGATTATGCGAGTAGCTGTTGAGGAACTGTCGGACGTGGACGATAGGAACTTGTTTTACTGGGCTGCCGTGAGATGGCCCGGGCCCAGCCCCGGGCCCGGCTGCGGCTTTTTTTTGGACCCTCACTAGAGTGCCGCATGCAGTACATCAACTACATCTCGATAGGAACATTTTGTTTATGTCGTAGTTTGTTAGACCGGCACGCGCCGGTTTAGAAAAAATCGTTTATGAGGAACTCTTGCGTCTACCCTACCTATCTATCTATGTACACTTTACTCCGGCCAACAGTATATTCTTTTTTGTATTTATATACTTAGGCGACATTTGAAACACTCATTGTCGTAGTAACTATACGTTGCAATAGGAATCATCGGACCTACTCGACTATACAACATTTATACAACTACACTGACACATCTACGATATAACGTTTAAAAATATAGATCAGCTGTAAATATAAAGTATTATTTAAATTGCTTATTAAGTTTAAAACTGGTAGTTGGAGTTCGTATTTCATTGTTCTAGTAGAACGCCATGTTTCGGCTCGAGTTCCTATGCGAAACGGCCGCTTCCGATCACCCACGGTAGGAACTGTACGTATGATTGTAAGAAATAAGGTTATCGTGGGTAGTCGAACGCGACCGGGGTTTTACATGAATTTAACAACGTCATAATATCGGGAACGTGGAGGTGGCTCAGTGCCCGGCACTCGTCAATGGCTGCGCAACGTCTCCGGGTGACAAAAAACGTCGCTTTGTTGGATCGGGCGGCTGACAAAACGTATTAGAGTCCAACACGCGACCACCGTCCGGACGTGCCTCCTGCGCCGCCCTCGCGGCAAGCAGCGTTATTTGATTCACCACGTCCTCCATCTCGTGACTCAGCGGCGATTCCGACGGTGGCGGTAGCGACGACGAACTCACCTTTGCCGTTTTCATGTGTATCTCGCTCTCGCAGTGCCTTCGGAAATCTTGAAATGACTTAAAGCGTTCAACGCCCAAGCAATATTTGCACTCGTAACCGAACTGCACTATCCGAAAAGCACCACGACTCTCTAGGCAACCACTGAAGCACTGCCTCTGATGTATGAGTAAGGGCGACTCGCCCGGAAACGCGACCCGACACTTTTTACACACGAAACACACCTCGACGTCAATTTCGCGACCGGGAAACTCCGCCAGTCGCGGGTTCGCGATCACCTCGGGCATCCGTACCGTTGTCACGCCAGGATCAGAATTTCCGGCCGCCACCTGCTCTAACACTGAAGCCGGAAGTGGCAGAAATGATGGTCCTGCGCCCGTATCTAGAAGTAGTCCTCCAGTTCCTCCTGAAAAAATTCCAAAATTGCAATTACTTACAAACACATATTGGATATTTCGCTATTACTAATCAGTGTCAAAATATCACTACGTTCACATACGGGGTACGCATATTTTATTGAAGACGAACTTCTTCATGAAAAAAGTAAAAAATTAAGATGTATAACACTTTCTGAGTATTCTTCAGTTCTTAAAAGTTAAAAATAATAGTCAGTTGGAGAAAGGATGTACTGGTTTTGAGTTTTGAGTACATTGTAACTAAATTTTCCGCCTTGAAGTTGATACTCGAAGTTATCACCACACCGTATATTTGTGGAGTCGACCAGCTTTGCTGAACACCCGGTATCTAGAAGCGTGTTAAGTTGGGCGCTTCGTTAGTAAGGACCGCCGAATTTGGAGATTTCATTCCGACTATTTACATAAGTATAATTAACATCGGCATATTTTTCCGATGTCGGGGAAAGGCGTAACTAATTAAAAACAGTTTTAATTTGTTTGAACGTAAGAATATTCTGGTAGAGATACTTCTCAATACGCCACTCGACACAGCCCTTTCAGGGGGAATAAAATTTTACGCTGAACGGCACATTAGTATTTTTCTTTCATTTCGTTGTCTGTGAACGCACTTGCCAATATAGGAGTAACAGAAAAGTGGCGAAATAACAGTGGACGAATTATTAGAAGTGATAAATAAATTAAAAAATGGTAAAAAGGGAATGACACAATTACTAAAGAAATGGTTAAATGTATGGGAGAAAGCGGAAATTACTTACTTTTAGAAATGTTTAAAAAAAAGTTTGGAAGGTGGAAAACCCTCTGACGGACTGGGAAATTGGAGTAATCCTACCAATCTTTAAGAAAGGAGATGCGATGGTGTGTAGTAAATACAGAAGAATTGCTTTATTGAGCACCCCAATGAAGATGTTTGAAGATCACGTGTTTACAATCAAAGTAATCATCAGTAGAATGAGGACTAGATCACAAACCAAATCTATTTAGCGTTTAGGGATATGGAGAAAGCGTTCGATCGGGTGGCAAGAAATAGAATTTGCGAAGAGAAAAATGTGAATAATAAATTAAGTAAGAGTAGTAAGATGCATGTACCGAAATACCCGAAATAAAGTGATCAGTAAGAAATAAAACTCCACACAAACGAAGGAGTCGGGCAAGGAGGAAAGAGTTATTTTTTATATTCATAGACCAACTAATGAGAAGTGACAAACTAAGAACAAAATCACTAGATGTAGGATATAGAAACCTAGAAAAGGTAGAAATTTCGGAATCTCTAAGATGAACGATCACAAAAATGAAGCGTTTCCGGAAACCGAAACCATAAATTTTTACAATGGAATGCTAGATTTTTCGCAAGTGAGCAAGAAGTTTCCAGTGTAGTTAAAAACATTAGAATAATTAATGGGCATCGCCATACCGTTGAGAGATGATTAAGTAACGCATGTGGCTTAAAGTGATTTCAACGCCACGTTAGACGACATCCCACCAAGATCATTAGTCGAGTGTATGTTTAGTAATAAAAAAGGCGACTAATATAATAGTGCCATTTTTTTTCCAAAGTTCCATCGAGAGAGATATTAAATTAAAATAAATGCACTTAAGAGCGTTCACTGATTTTTATTATTGTACTGTGCATATAAGCGGCCATTCAGAAATACAAGCTGACATATTTATAATGTAATTATAGGTAACATATGTCCTTAAACGTCTACGATGATTAAAACTATTGGGTTAAAAATGTACCGAACGAGTTTATCAGCGAACCTGATTAGAATGTATTTAAAATCCATAAGTCCCTAACGGCCCCATTAAAAATGCTCCACACGTTCCGAAATAAATAAAGAACGCCATTAGAATCGTATGCAGGAGATAACATACTTGTCAATACATTAAATTGAACATTCAACGGTACGGACCAGACAAATACTAAACGGAAAGTAACGCCGTGTTTTCCACATTAAAATCGAAGGGTAATTGGAATTGAGGCAAGCCCAATGTTACTCAGCCTTGTATAAATTTGTATCGCCGTTGTGTCTTAGATTGAGTCTGATTAAAATGTAGTTAAATCGCGGCCCACTCAATCACAACAACAATTTATTTTGGTGATGCCCAAGATCATTGACTGCAGGCCAAAGAACGTTCCTTACCGTTTTTTTTATCGCCGAATAATTAATTACCGTAACCCGTTTAAAAACGGTCCAAGCAAAAGGCACGTGACAATTTGCTAGGAGACGAACCGGATGCGAGTCCGAGACCCCCACAATAAATATTTAAAGGCACGTCGCCGTCTTTGCAAAAACGGACAACCTAAGGGATGGATTCAATTGTTCTTAAATTACTTCGGCAAGACCTTTGTAAAAAGTCCAGTTAGGGCTTTTAAGTTGGCTATAAAACGAAAAATTCATACGGTCTCTCGAAAAATAAGAAAAATCGAGACTGATGGATGACTCAATTAAACTAACACGTAAACACGTGTACTACAAACGGGAGAACGTATAAAAACACAATCAACAGCCATTTGTATTTCAGCGATCGCGAAGCCAAAAATCTCGTGCCGTATAGAGCTACATTTTAATTATATCGCGGTTTGATTAAAAAATCCCGAGTCGCATAAAAAATAAATTGCCTATTTAATTGCAGTCGGCCAATTTCGGGCGTGGGGCGCCCGTTCTTAAAACAAACTTTTAGAAAGAAATTGGACGGCTGCAGTAGGCGAGCGCGAGGGCGAGGGTTTCTTAAAATTTACTTTTTCGCTCCGCGAGTTATAATAGCGAGGGGGAGGGCGGCCGCTTGGGGTGAGATATGGATTTTTGCTTCCGACGCTCAGTTTTTCTGAATTATAAAATATCTTCGTTCCAAATACGTGCGCTTTATATAAAATCATTATTGAAAAACTCCGCCGTTTTTTTTCCTCCTCGAGCTCCATAATTATCAATTCAGAATTACCTAATTAAAGTCTTTCTGAATGCGGTTTCGACTTCCCTTTTAATTATTGCTTTACTGCATCATCGAACGGGTATGGCTCATTTATTAAATTAAATGTAATATATGGAACCAGGAAAACTTAATTTAAAATAATTTATCCCAAGAAAACATTTCTCCCTTTATTCCTAGTTTCAGTGTCCCTAACCTTTGGATTTTATGATATTTTACTGTAGTTTTGGTAAAAATTTTAATGCAATTTAGGCTCATTTTCTCAGTGTTAAATAATTATTGTAATGCAAACCGCTACAATTTAATCTTTTAAGGAAGATTTTCAGTTATTCGTTGTGTGTTTCTCAGCTCCAGCACAATCAGTTTGCCTTGAATTGAAACGCAGGGGCCATTTGACTCTCTACCCCTTGGTTTTTTTAAGGTACAAATTCCCCTGCTACTTTAACGAGTTGTGCTCGATGCATATTGGATTGTACTGGTCAAATATACGAAAATAGTACAGGGTAGTTCATGCACTCAAATCCCGGGGGCCAACTTGACTTTCAGCTCCCAATGTTTTTTACACATATGGAATTAGTAATCATGACAATTAATTTCTGCTCACTGCGTATTGAATTGTGCCGTTCAAATTTTCGAAAATAGTCTTACTGTACCCAATAGCTCTTGAATTCAAACCTCGGGGGCCATTTTAACTCTCAGCCCCCATGGCACATTCCAATATGCATCAGGCACAATTGATTGCCATTACTGCCTATTCCTTATCTATAAAAAACGTGGGAGCTAGGAGTCAAATTGGCCCCTGCATTTCAATTCAAGGAAAACGGATTTTACAAATCAGCACACATTGCCCCCCCCCCTCGAGTAAGATGCTTTTCTTTGATTGATTCTAAGAAGTGTCTTTTTTTCCCTTTTTGTTTATTTAATAATTTCGGAAAGAGTGGCAAATAGAAAAAGCATAGTAGTTCTGGATTTTATTTTTATATCTTTACAGGTGGTACCTAGGAATGTTTAAATTATGCAAAAATTAAGTGAAATGTGCCATTTAAAATCAGCTTGGAAAGACTGAGAAAAAAAAACAAAAACTTAAATTCCAAGATTTTCAATCAAATATGAAATTTTGCTTTTAACTCGCTGTTCAAACGCCTAGAGAGAGCATTAAAATTACATCCCTTCGTAAATTATCTTAATATAAAACAAGATACGAACAATCACATGCGATTTTCAGTAGGGGAATTTCTTGTGTACCCCTGGAACATAATTAAAACAGCTCGCATTCGGAAACACGACTTTTAATCCGGCTAATATTCAATTGCATTGATCCTTGAACTCATAGAAATCGATTGCCTAAGTTTTGACATCGCTATCTCTTTTCGTTCTCGAGTTACACGAGGAACAGACGGACTAAACCATCAGCATCGAAAAAAAATTCCCCTAAAAAGCAGATACACTTTTGGCGGCTGTGTTAACTCTGAGCTGGTGCTTCGACGTTTCTGGTAACGGCTTTACAGCACGTTCCGCCGGTGCTGGCGTTCGAACAATTGCAATACTTAGTATGGTCAGAACCGTACCAGGACTGGAAATGGACGTTTTTAGGACTTCCAAGTTGCTAATTTACTAAGGCCCCTCAAAAAGACTTCTCTCCTTAAAAAAAATTAATTCAGACAATCTGACGATTGATATTGGTGATATTGGTCAGGCAGTGCCTTTTAACAGGGAACAAAAACCCAAAAATCCTTGCTATGGAAAATTTACAGGACCAATCGAAATATGAGAATTTTACTATTTAAGTATGAAAAGTCGCACTAGTAAGTAACCCCACCTCTCAAAGGCCGTTTTCCATATGGAGCAGTGATTCTTCCAAAGGGTACAGGAATAACTACGGCGGGAGGTTTACAAACGCTGCGAACAGTGAGCCTGAAGAAGCAGGATGGTGTAGCGGTACTTTTGGATAATGGGTAATGAAATAGCAGGGGATGTGGACCCTTTATCTCAAAGAGAATTTAATGGGAGATATCGAGACCAAGGTATTTTCACTGATTTAAACTACACTATTTACTCTATT